CAGGTGATGATTCTTCAGGAGCTTTGCTGAGCTCCAGCACAGACAATTGGTTCCAGTACATGAAATCTGTCAGTGTTTGCAAGAGTGGCCAGGAGAGAAGCAGTCTACTGAGTCAGCCTGTTCAGATCACCAGGGACTGCGGAGAGCAGTGACCTGCCAAACTGATATGTATCATCATCTGAGATGACATACCTCATGCTCTTTTTACAGGTCCACCTGGAGCCACAAGGATGATCATTGATACTCTCAAGAACTGACTCTGGCAGTGCCTTCTCGATTGTGTTGCATAAACACCTATGGCCTGTGAACATCTGAGATTGTCTTGATTTTATATATATATATATATATATATATATATATATATATATATATATTATATATATATATATATATATATATATATACTGGGGCTGTACCCGGCCACGCGTTGCTGTGGCATAATTTGGCTAAATGGAAATGAAAGAAAATAGAAATCGCACGTGTCTAATACAATCATTGTCTGCTCAGATATTTTATAGTCCTTTGATCCCCAGCCAACCCCCCCACACCCTAACTAAATCCACCTACTGTACCCTCCCCCTTAATCAAATTTTATTGTCATTAATCCCCCCCCCCCCCCCCCTCTCCCCTCTTCCACCGACTACTGCTTTCGTTCCCTCTTCGAAATATTTGAAAATCATTACCTGGCTCTATTTTGTTTGTTGCTGTAACTGACATTGAGAAATCCCTGTCCAGGGCTGGACTAAATGGGGGAGCATTATGATTGTAATGGGTAGTGAATGGGGCTAGTGTAATATTTACCACAATCATCCTTCAAGTACAGTACACTACTACTAAAATAATGTCACTGCTATCTGTGTGTTACCATCGGAGTAGACAGAGAGTCGTGAGCCAGAAGATTTGGTTCCAGCATGGCTAGTGCTGTCGCCACAGACTGGTCAGGTTAGGATGGGTATCTAATTTCACTTCCCGACAGAAGAACGCCATAACCTTCCGGCGGTCTTCACATGAGAGCACTATGGTGTAAACAGCCCAACCACAAATATTACTGCTGCTGCTACTTTAAGTTGGTAAAGCAGTTACTGTAACTTGTAGCTAAGCTCTCAGTAAATAGTTTTGCCCCCCCCCCCCCCCCCAAATTCACCGACAACTATTTTCCTCATTGAAGTAGTTGGGAGAAAAAAAAACACTTGAAAAGCAAATGAACACATGAATGAAAAAAAATGGTTGATAATTTGAAATGAACGCCATGGTAAACAGCACAGCTTAAAATTCCAACGAGATGAATACTAAATATAAATGAAAATAAATGAAAAATCTATAAAATTTCAGCGTAACCATGCAATCGGAAAGTTTAAAAATTCAATCATAAGTATGCGAAAATGGCAAATTTATTATCAAATGGTTTACCCATTTACCTGTCTTTTTTTTTTTTTTTCCATATATTAAGGCAACATGGCTAGTGCTGTCACCACGACAGAGCAGATTTGGATATTATTTTAGTCCGGGGTAAAAAAAAAATTACTACTGCGGATTCCGAAACCATGGTCTCCCGCACAGAACCCCAGTGTTCTAACCATTCGACCCAAGCAGCCACTTAATCAGATAAACGAAAAGTGAACTTAACTATTAGAGATGTGTGTCCCTACTGCTGTGTCCTGATTAAGACACAATTCAAAAACCAAGCAGGCAATTGTTTCCCTCGTAGGCAGATACTCGCAGATATATTAATGAAACGGCACAACAATAGAAATCGCACGTGTCTAACACGGTTACTGAAGTTAATGTCGCAGGTCAAATGTCTGCGCCGACGTCGAGATAGTAGCCGTGATTGCCCCCCCCCCACCCCACCCCCCCCCGTAGTTAATAGAAGGTTGTTAGTAAAAAAATGAAATAGAAATCGTGTTTAATATGGTTATTGTGGCAAATAAGAGATAGTCTTGTTTGCTGTACCTCGACCTACTCTATGTATTAGAGAAGGCGTTGGCTGCACGTAACTCGCGCGGCGAATGTCGGAAGCCTTGCGTTCTGACTAGTAGTAAGGGCGGCGCATGCAGTATTAAAAGCGTGGCTATAATTAGAAATCACTAAAATTATAAATATTAGTTTCGCAATATTATGGCTTAAAAGTTCACCTATCTCTAACAGTGACAGGTTGAATTTCAAACAATGATGGTTCAACATCCGGTATCAAAACAAACATATCCTGAAAATTTCAGCTAAATCGGTTCAGTAGTGTCCGAGTCTATAGGGGGCAAACAAACACACAAACATTGATTTTTTTATATATATAGATATATATATAAATACTTATATACATATATGTTTATTTTACTGGTACTTTAACAAAATTGGGGAGGGGGCGGGGCGGGGTAAAATTTCGGTTAATAGTACTATGACATGGAATTAATTTCAACGTTAAATATATTTGTATTTACGGCAAGTCACTTGACATACACAGATTAGTATGGGGCCCTATGAGCGTGGGGCCTCCGGGCAAGCACCTAGTGGGCCCATACATTGAGTTTGACCCAGCCTATCCCCTTAGAAAATATTTGGGAAGGTCATGCCCTTTGTCCTTAAACAAAATTGCGTGCGTGGGAGAGAGAGAGGGAAGGAGGAGGGCACCCAAGGGGCTTGAGCTCCTGGTACCGGCACCCATACACGCCTGTTACAGACAAGAAAGATATGTTGTTTCACCTAAGAACTTCTTACTCACACCTAACTGCAGGTAACACCAGGGTAGTGTAGCCGTTACGGATGTTCCAATTATACATGTGCAGTAGTTAGTAGTAGCAGTAGTAGTAATATGAGTAGTAGTAGAGTTTATAGTAGTTGTTAGTAGTAGTAGTAGTAGTAGTAGTAGTAGTAGTAGTAGTAGTAGTAGTAGTAGTAGTAGTAGTAGTAGTAGTAGTAGTAGTAGTAGTAGTAGTAGTAGTAGTAATAGTAGTTGTAGTAGTTGAAGTAGTAGTAGATGTCCTGCTACATGATAATAAAGAGAAAAAAATATACTTTTTTAAAGAGAGTTTCTAAATATGGAGTATGGAGGTTGGGGTGGGGGGGGGGGGGTTTAACTACCTAAAATATGAGGCCAGAGCTCTCAGTATAAGGTGCCTATGAACCATTTATACCTACCGATACTTAAAAGATTTGTACGGTCTGTTTTTCATGCTATAATATCCTAATCTGTCGTGACAGTAAATATCGAAATGATGACCAGAGGAAGATAATAACCAACGATTGCAACGATATTTGAACTGAGGGGATTAATCTGGCATTCACAAACAACGCTCATACATACGCTGCAAAGGCTAAAGAGTGCTAATTCTTGTCAGCCATAATGTATTCGCAAAATTCAATAGTTTTCGTGCCTAAACGAAGTGACGTTACTAATGACAACAGCGCACGCACTAAATAAGCGATGAATGACGTAAATAGGGAGTGACATTTTATGTAATTATTCAGCACTTCTTGTCCTCAGTTTTTCGAACGCATCTCAGTTATTTCGTTTCGTAAGATAGCACGCCATGGCCAGATTTATTTCTCTGTTGCAGAAATAAGAGACCCGCTCTTTTTCCCCCCGAAGAAAAACGTTAGTGTGCGCAATATGAACCCCCCCCCCTCCTCCCCCCCCCCCCCTCCCCCCCCCCCCCCCCCCCCCCCCACAAACTTGCATTTACTGGTCACACAGTAATTTCACATTTTTATTCAACCACCTGGCCCATAGAAGCAATGTGCGGCTCTATTACTTTATGTAAGGTTGGAGGCCGCGTTCCAAAATATTCGACAATCGCTGTTCGATTTGTAGATGGTGGATGTGGATGGTTTCGAATACACAAACTGTTCTCGTGGCTTTTAGAAAGTCTCGTCATGCAACGTCCGAAAGTCTCTATTTTTCTAGCCAGTTCTCTTTCTGGCTTATGTGCTTTCCTAACCAATGCATTGTCAATGCCTTATAGCAGTGATTCCCAAACTGTGCGCCGCGGCGCCCTGGAGAGCCGCCACCTCTTCACAGGGGAGCAGCCAAATATTGTAAAAGCTTCATAATTATTTCAACCAAGACACGAATAGCCAGACGTTGACTTAGGTTAAGGCGCCGTGGAAAATTTTCATTTTAAAAAAAGGCGTCGCGACCAAGAAAAGTTTTGGAAACACTGCCTTATAGCTGCATTCGTGGATGTCGGCCTCTGCTTCTATTTCCGGTATCCTCCATCACCACGAAGAAGTCTGACATTGCCAAAATACCCCAGCTTTCAGGACAGGATGCTGTTTATGTGCCAGTTCTCCTCTATGCTCGGATCGTGTAGGATGTCGATGTTTTTTTGCCCATGGATTTCTAAGAATTTTTGTTCATCATTTCAGTTCAAAAGCTTCGCTTATTTCTTGATTTTTCAGACAATGATTCACATCAATATGCTGCGTCACGAAAGATATGTGATCTGCAAATTTTTACTTAAACTCGTTTGCAGGTGCGGTTCCGCAGATTATTCATAATATTTAATCACTGCATTACTAAAGCAATTCCTAACAGAAGCAATACATCATCAACATGTGCCCTGCCAACTGGCGTAGGCACTGATGCGTCTCCACAGATCGCGATCCCTGGTTGCCTGGAACAGCTCCATGCCATCGTTTCAGCCCATCCAGCATCATCTGCCTTTACCCCTTTTCCCACTGATCTTTCCTGTTGTCACGATGTTCTTCAATGTCTCTCTTCTCATTATGTGGCCAAAGAATAGTGTTTGTCTCTGTCTTATTGTTGTATATAGAGATCTACTTTCGTTAGCTTCTTTCAAGCAAGCGTTGTTAGTTACTCTGGCCGTCTAAGGTATTCCTAACATTCGTCTTAGAAACCACGTCTGTTGCTTCCAAATTCTTCTTAATTTGGTCACTGACATTCCAAGATTCGCTGCCATACAGCAGAACTTTATTATGTAACATTTTAGCACTCTCTTTCTGACATTGAAAGCAACACACAGAAGCAAACAAAAAAGACTCACTTGGGTAATACATGCTCAGTCGAAGGCATTTCTGATATCGGCAGTACTGACAATGGACGCGGCTCTCCCTGGTAATGGGGCAGCTTCTGGATCTTGGACACTGATAACGGAGCTCGTTCTGCTTCGATGCTCGAATGAAAAATTTCTAGAAATAAATTACATTTTCTGTAGTATTTTTTTAAAATTCTAATCTATATTCATAATTTTCCTAGTTTGTTAACTATAGACTCGGAAACTACTGAGCCGATTGCTTTCAAATTATCACACAATGTTGCTTTTGACCCAAAGCACGATATTTTGTCATAAAATCATACAAACCACGAACGACGTAGCTCCAGCAACGGTCAAATCATTATTTGTTTCGTTGCTGGCCCGGATTTGTTTTCAGTTGATTGGCCACCTTCGACTGCTGAGCAGGGCTGCCAATAGATGCCTCTTCCCCTACGATCAATCTCCGACACAAACTACGAATGACGTAGCTCCAACAACGATTATTTCATTAGTGATTTCGTTGCCGCCCCGGATTTGTTTTTTTTAATGATTGGCCACCTTTGACTGTGTAAGACTGAGCTTCATATTATTATTATATAATTTCTTCTCCACTGAATGCTTAAGTATTTAGTAGCGTAATTTTAGTCATTCCGCATTTCACGCAGGCGATCGGCGTTCGATTCCCCGCTGAATGATATAATTTTTTTTAGGGTTCCCTAACTGGGTGCCTGCCACGTTTTCTTGTGGTTTATAGCTAGGCTGCCATATTTACGACACTATTGTCTGGAAAGACGGAAAGGTGCCAATGATAATATTAGGTGGTGGTAGTGGTAGCAGTAGTACTAGTACTGGATGGGTGATGTGGCAGCTGTTACACTGGCCACATTCACTTCTCAGTACACATTAATGCTATCCATTTTTGTCTGGGCGGACACGGATGCAAAGCTCAGTTTAGTTACAATATTTCGTCAGATGATGCTTTTCCCATCCTTTGGCGAGGATGATATGATTAGTGTGGGGGGGGGGGGGGTGGTGATGCCAGACACTGTTAACTTAGAGAAGTTAAAAACAATAATTTCAAGAACTCATTTCTTAACTATTTCTATTTTAATACTTTCGCCAGAGATGATTTTTCAATCCTTCTGAGAGAGAGATATAACTGGGTGGAGGGGAGAGAGAAGAGGGGTGAGGGTTATGACAGACACTGTTAGCTGAGAGTTATTTTCTTTCTTTTCCATTTCACCATTCTGGGCCACAGCAACGCGTCGCCGGGCACAGCTAGTTAATGTAATAATTATCATCTGTCGCTTCTGCTGTCTATCATGGAAAAGGGGAGGGAGTAGGGGTGGGGTGTCAGGCAAACAGAAGACAGGAAGTAGTAAGTGGTTCAGTTATACGCTGTCAGCATTTTGACAGCAGACGGCATCTCGTTGGTTTCAACAGTAGTACTGAGAGCTGACCTTTCAAACTATTGAAATTAAAATTTACCTAGTCAAATCAGTAACACATTTTTTTTTTTAAAGTCTTGGTTGCTTTTCTACAACGTTCTGTAAAGGACACGCAACTAACATTGTTTGGTTCTTTTAATTTCTCTTTCAGTCCCAAGAAACGCACAAAGTATCATATGCTTCCTCCCCCACCCACCCACATTCAAATCATTCCTTGATTCTTTGACTTATGAATGTTTTGATCGCGGCGGCCCATTTGGGAAGACAGAATCTCGAGGGCAGTACACTGCAACTGTCTAGACCAGTGTTTCCCAAACTGTTATTGGTCGCGGCGCCTTTTTTCAATTAAATTGTTTTCCACAGCGCCCTAACCTAAGTAAAAGTCTGACTATTCCTCTCGCGATTACATTAATTATAAAGCTTGTACAATATTTCACGGCGCCCCTGTGAAGTGGTCGCGGCTCCCCGGGTCGCCGAGGCGCACTGTTTGGGAATTACTGGTCTAGAGAGCAAACTCGATAAAAGCTGTCCCCAGAAACGGAATGTGTCAAGCATCTGAAATATATATTTATTTCACATTCATCTCTTGATGATAATAATAATAATAATAACGCGCACTTAAACACGGCTTAACTCATTGAGCCTCCGCCAGCTGGGAAAATTAACAATAGCTAGCGCCCCCCCCCCCTTTTCCACCCCAATGATTTCTTTGCATCGGAGCCCCTGGTTACAAGTAGTATATAATACAGCAACCATTTATGTAAGCTTTACAGCTGTGCTGCCACGAACTTATAAACTTATCTATCCTGAGCAAAACTATGACCGTCTCCATTAAGTAAAAGTAAAAATCCCTTTTTACGCCTTAGGCGCATCGGGCATAAGGGAAGAGCATCCCATATTTTTACAAACCAATCGGCACTAGGTGGGTAATGTGGTCAGCATTACGCCAGCCGTCTTTTCTTCCCCAGAACATACATCCTGATGCCCATTTTAGGCTGGGTCGACCTGCGACAGCCCCATATCACGACAAAAATCCACACAGCCAGCAGTGGGCTTCGATCGCGGTACGTTGGAATTACAAGTCGGACTATCAACGCCTAGGCCACAAACGCCGCACCGTCTCGAGTTGTTAGTATTAATATCTCCTCTTTAATGTCTTCTAGGTCTTAGGTCTATTTAAAAAAAAAAAAAATTTAACTCAAACGCGTGCAAGCATTTCAGCTCATCTGAGCAATTGTTTCTAATTGCGCACTTTATTGTGCAGTACTTGCTCTGATAGGGTTTTCTGTGGTTCCATTATGTTTTCTTGTTTTGTTTTTTTAGAGGACGTTTGTGTGATGGTGATTCTTCGTGACTACTGAATTGCTGTAAACGTGTCGGTGTTGATTTACAGGGACGCAGGCATCCGCTGTACTTTCTTCGATGTACTTTCTTGTTGTGTAGTTTGGTTTCGTTCCCAACAAGAAGGGTTCCTTGTCAGTACACATCTGATATAAAATTGTTTGTTGTATTGTTCCAAAACCATCTTGCCGCCGGTATTTGTTCATACTAATTGATACTGATTCTTTATTCTTAATGATTTATTTATTCTCCTATTTTCATTGCTGCTGTTTGCTTCCATTTGATGACATTTTGGGTGCTCGGCTGGTAGTCGTGTTTAATCCCCGCAAGCCCGGCTCGCTAGTGTAGTTGGCTAAACCTGACTTCGCGACGACCTGCGTGTGGTCCGGGTTCACGCCCAGGGGTAGACACAAAAGCTACATTTCTACCAGATTTACAGTATTTATCATGGAATCAAGGCCGAAGGGTTGCGATGTCCATAGTACCGAGCCAAAGGGTTAAGAACTCATGGTTTCTAGATATTACCTCTCTGAGTCCCACGAAACGTATCATACGTTCATAGGTTCCTAACTAAAAGCCCAATGAGCGCATGATGCGCCGATTTTCCGTCTCTTTTGACTACCCCTTGGGCCTCTGATGCTAAACCACCTGGGACTCAAAGAGTTGGGGAAAAAAAAAACCTACAAGTACTTTTGTGTAGTCTGGTGTTTATTTCCACACTCCTGCCTCTGTGACTGATCTGTGTATGGTATCTTCTTTATTTCTGGACGCTGGGGATTTAGTTTTTCTGTCTGCGGTGATAATGTTTTGTTCTGTTCTCTCCTCATCTCTTCTCTCAATCTCTTTTCGTATTGCACTCGTGCTCGTCAGTCTTCGTTTGCCTCCATGTTTTCCGGTTTTGCTGGCAGACTCTTTCGGTGTCATTTCTTGTGGCTTGTCTTCTGTTGTCTTTCTGCTATTGTTATTGCCTGTTGAAGATTGTTTGGATCTACAATATGCCTATCTGGATGGCATGCTTTGCTTCATGGCTGGCGTTTTTGTATTGGCTTTTCGCAAATACATCAAAATATTTAATAGGGCTGTGCATTTTCGTTCTGCATCACTTTCTACATTGATTTTCTTTAAAAAAAAAAAAAAAAAAGAGTACCATTTCCCCTAAGGTCTAGGATGTGTCAAAAAGGCAGTAGACAAATTAATATTAAAATATTGGTTAACGTTAGTTGCGAATAGTTTACATGACTTTGCAGAACCAACCCCAGCATATTTTGGCTGTTGTAGCTTTTATAGGCAAATGTTACGTTCAACAGTTAGCTACTGCCACTGAACGGTCAGCTCTGGGTACCACTGTCTAAACCAACGCAAGACAAACCGTACTCAGCTGGGATCAAACATGGCATCCCGGCTTTACGAAGCTCGTTCGCAACGCCTCCAAATTAACAGCTTAGCAATAATTTGCATTTGTGTATACTTTAATACGTTCTTTGATATCTACTTACCTCAGTTTACTGTAATTACAAGGGGAAGTCAATAAGTAAGTCACAAAAGGTTATGGAATGGCAAAAAAATGTAGTTGGTGGTTTCTAAAGGTGACAGCAACATCGAACTTTATGTCTGCCTTCGTTAGGTGGCGCTAGGTGTTGCATGAGCTTTCCCAACACAGAAATAAAATAGTGACTGTACTTATGGAGTGTACCCTTAAAGAACTGCAAGCTGTTGTGCGGTTGTTGTTTTAACGCAAAAGGGCTGCCTGCTAAGGACATTTGTAACGAAATGCTTCCTATTTATGCTGACAAACGTTTATCCCGTAAAGCGGTGCACAGCTGGGTCTCCCCCCCCCCTCCCCGAAAAAAAAATTCTTCAGTACGCTCTACGATTATTGATGAAATCCGATCTGTTCGTCCTGTTCAGATTGCAACAGACGTATCCGTGCAGCGGGCGGAGGATATGATTAGATGTGACAGACCAGTAACGGCTGACTCTGTAGCAGCAGCAATAAGGTGCTCACATGTTTCAACATACAACATAATGCACTGAAAAAACACATTGAAAAAGAGAAATTTAGCGAATGAAGTTGAATGTGAAGTGGAAATGTGGTTTAGAAAACAGAGAACGCAGTTCTATGTAGCAGGTTTGTGAGGATTAATAAAACGATGTGACAAGTACATCAATGTTGGTGAAAATTACGTTAAAAAATAAAGGGACAGTGTATGTGTAAAAATTAACGGTTTCCAATCTGTTATCGTCTTTATTTTTTTTTAAACGACCATTTGTCACTTATTTATTTACTTTCCATCGTAACTGTATTTTTTTCTTCTCTATTTCAATTGCCGCACTGGTTTCCTAGCAATTCAAACTTCAGAAAATC